TAGGGCTGTCCTGAAGAGAAGCCTTGCTGCTGCGCACGTGGGGTTCTTTGAACTTGCCACAACTGGGAACCCCAGTCTGTGATGGCATCTTCTGGATGCCCCTGAGCTGGAGTTTTGCAGAAATGGCTCTGAACCTGGCTGTTAAGGGCCAGGGAGATGGCTCCTTTGGTAAGTGCTGGAGGGGAAGAGTAAACTTAGTCCCTGGAAACCACATTTAAAAAAGCCAGACAAGGGGGATGGCTCAGTTGGTAAGTACTGGTGTGGAAGAATTTGGTTCCTGGAAGCCACCTTTTAAAAAAAAGCCAGACGTGGTGGCATGCCTGTAATCACAGCACAGGGAAGACAGAGATAGGTAAACCCCTGGGCCTCCTAGGCCAGCCAGCCTAGCCTAGTTGGAAAGGTCTGAGCCAGTGAGAGTGTCTCAAAAGAGCGAGTTCAAAATCTGGAATGGGATACTTGACCTCCACACATCCACATGCACATGCACTGCCCCTAGAAATGAACACAGAGAGAGAGGGGGGAGGGAGGGGGAGAGAGAGAGGACTGTTAAAGGCAGAGTAGCAATCATTTTCAAGAAGGGAGGCAGACAGACAGACAGACAGACAGACGCATCAGTTCTTGCCTTTTGTATATATGTTCTTCTACAGACTTCCTGGTGCCTGTCCCCTGGTGGTCCCTTTCACATACACTATCTGGAGTTAGATGGAGAGGTATGTTTGAGCACAGGCTCTGCCCTGTGACTCTGGAAGCACAGAGCAGGCTGGGGCTGACCCGGCACTCTGTGTATTTAAATACCTCCTTTCAGGCTGTGCCCGGGAAACCCACTATTAAATGTGACAAGGCAGACACTGCTCCCTGCTGTGTACCAGCTGCGGGTGACTCATGTTTGCCTGCTTCTCATGCTGGGGAAACCTCGCCTCCCACTTGTCTGTGCTGCCAGGCAGGGCCCAGTCCTCCTCTCTCTGATGTTGGAACTGCCTTCCAAAGTCTCATGGGGTTGCAACATCCTTGTTGCCTACTGCATTAGGAACACAGGACGGGAGGTTGCACTTGAGAGTGACTGACCTTGAACCCCTCACTCTAGAGGCATTCCAGATGGGGAGCGGGGGCTGCTCCACACTTTTCTCCCTTTAATAAATGTTATCATCTCTTTTCTCTCCATCCTTACCCACTCATCTTTCAAGGACCAGTTCAGACACCTCAGGATGCCTATCTGCCCATCATCTTTCAGTATATCTATCTATCTATCATCTATCTATCTATCTATCTATCTATCTATCTATCTATCTATCTATCTATCTATCTATCTATCTATCCATCTATCTCCATCTATCTATCCATCCATCATCCTTTGATCTACCCATCCATTCATGCACCCAATAATTCATTTATCATGTCATCCATCCATCCCTGAATTTTTCTATTTACCCTTCCTTCCTTCCTTCCTTCCTTCCTTCCTTCCTTCCTTCCTTCCTTCCTTCCTTCCTTCCT